TAATAGAGTCGGGAATTTCTCCAGACGAACGATTGGGGGGACGAACGTCGGACTTACCAAAGGAATCGATCAGTTCACATGTCTCCCCAATGTCGAGTTTGTCTGGAAAGGAAAGCGAGAACTGTTACTGACATCATCGCGGATCCGGGAATTTCTCACCGCTCACCGAAGGAATAAATCAGCTGAAGTCTCTCCCTCCGGTTAAGTTTGTCTGGAACATAGAGAGGGAGAGAGAATGTCTGATGCAATCAAGATGGAGACGAACATTTTTTTAGACGGGCGGGGAATTGACGAACGTCGGTCTTACCAAAGGAATGAATGAGCTGAAGTCTTTCCCCCCGGCTGAGTTTTCCTGGAACATAAAGAGATTGATGCCATCACGTCGGAGCGGTGTCTCGAGCGGTGTGCGGACGGCGAACGTCGGGCTTACCGAAAATTCTCCAAAGCGCAGATGATGCCACTGGCATACGTTCGTCTGGAAAGGAAAAGAAAAGATTTGTGGCATCATGCTGCGAGCTGAGAATTCCTTCTGATGGGTCGTTCGGGGGGCAAACGTTTGACTTACTAAAACTTCGGAGAAGATTCCATGTGTCATATGTCCCGAGTTTTTCTGGAAGGAAAAGAAAGAAGGGTTCAAGGCATAACGAAAGTGGGAATTTCCCCCGATAAGCGGGCTGGGTGAGGAAAGTCGGGCTTACCAAAGGAATCCATGAGCTGACGTCTCTCTTCCGGATCGAGTTTTTCTGAAATGGAAGGAGAGAATTGTTGATGACATCATGGCAGATCCTAGTATTTCTCCATATGGGCAAGCTGGGGAAGGAAAGTCGGGCTTACCAAAGGAATGCATGAGTTCACGTCTCTCTTCCGGATTTAATTTTTCTGGAACGGAAAGCGAGAAGGATTGATGGCATCATGAGGGAGCTGAGAATTTCCTACCGACGCGTGGGCGAGGGTACGAATGTTGGACTTACCAAAACTTCTCCAAAGCGCAGATGACGCCGTTGGCCCACGTTCGCCTGGAACAGAAACGGAAGGATTGATGGCATTATGAGGGAACTGAAAATTTCTCCCGACCAGTCTGATGACCATTGATGACGAAGTTTTCGAAGTTTTCGCATATTCATCTTCGCATCTACACAAGTAAATCTAAATCTCAGTTTGGATTTGGAAGTAATGCTTTCATGTCTGTCGCCCTAATTTATTTTAATTTTTTTGTATTTGTTTATTTGTCAATATTTAACGAAAAATTAAAGGATAAGTTTAAACATAGTTTTGTACCTAGTGGACACTAATCATTATTTTAGTTTTTAATTTCTTGTCAGGTATTGGGAGGACTTTCTTGCTCTGGATGTGCCATCTTGCTATTCAATAAACTGAAAATGAGTGGAAATTTCTCATTGCTTGTTTAATAGTTTCATTTTTTGCATAGATTTGCGTTATGGTATGACTGGGGGAAAAGGCAGTTGATTTCTTTGTTGAGGAGCTCTTGGAACGACAGTTTGGGAAATGCTTTACTTGCACTTATAGAAATGTGAAGATTCTGATTTTTTGTCCAGAAGGACAGGGAACTTCTTTTAAGCATTATATTTTCTTCGATACGGTGGATCAGATACTTTTGCGAAAACCTGCAGGTGAGAAATGTCACCTATACCTATTCACTTTCGATTTGTTTGCAACGGAAGGGTGGGAAATGCTAATAGAATGGAAATTGCATTGATATATGAAAATAACATTCTTTTCTTTCCTCAGATTGTGTCGGACTACTGTCTTTTCTGCGCAGCAGATAGGTTTGTGATATTGATAATTGATTTTCATCACAAAATAATTAAATGGAGCACTGATTATTATTTGGGCATTTCGGATTGAACGGACTCTCTCGATTCCTTCCGATTTGTGAAAGGGGCCTTGAGGATCGGTCATAGTTCATGTTACGGTATTTCGAAAGTGTTTTTGCCAAGGGTGCACAACACTCTTACTGCATTTAATGAAAATCTGTAAAATGTGTTTTCGCCAGTTTGAACTAATTTAATTATCGCAAGTTGTCATAGTTTTTGGATATTTATGAAAACTAATATCCGACACGTGGTAGGAGAATTCTGATTGACATCAGTTATTTTCTTTAGGGATTCTATTCCGATCTGAAATTTGTGTGGACTGTTGAATGTGATTCTTTTCCCATGATAAATGATGGATTATATGGACATACAATGTGTATAGGCACTATATTGTCCAACATATCGAGACAAGCCTCCCTCCGCCGATAACAGATTGTCTCAGAGGTAATGTGATAGAGGGCGTTACTGTTGTCCAAAGTAATTATTGTCTGCAATTTTAACTTTTGTAAATGTATAATGCGACGTATTATACATCGTAATATACATCGACGTAATACGACATCATGGTTTACCATGCTTGTAGAGTATAGTAAGGGCCTGAACACATTGCGCAACTGAATTTTATTTCGCAGGATGTAATATATTGCCAGTGCAAGGTAAGAGGATAGAGATAGGCCGCAATTGTCCTACCTAGACTGAGTGGTGGTAATCCTGCCAGCTTCCTGTCCAGCGACTGTAACATGATAGCGCTGTGTCTTTTCCATGTCACTCTCACCTTCCCTTGGAAAAAGATTTTTGTTAATGTAGGGGGAAACTGGCCATCCCCATATACCGGGGGCAGCTTCTCCACTCCTATCCACACGTCTCCACCCCCTTGAAAAATGGAAGAATAGAGGAGGATGAAAGTGAGTATAACATACTGCACAGGGTGATCCATAATTAAGTCTCTCATTTAAATACTTAAATACCACATTGTTAATGTAAATAAAACAATTTTATTTTTTTCTCGAAGGCCATTTATAGCCGTTAAATTGAGAACATCAAATTTCAACATAAGCTCCTGTGTTCTTATTTTTCCTGTGTTCATTTTTTCATGGTTCGACAACATTTTCCACTGAATCTCTGAGAAACACCTTTGGTAAATCTGCAAAAATGTTGCAGATAGAAGTTTTGAATTCGTCCAAATTAGCGGGTTTCCTGGCATGCACTTTTATTTAGCATATCCCCACGAAAGAAATCGCACAGTATGAAATCCGAACTCCTGGCTGGTCATTTTATCCATCCTCGTCGCCCGATCCATCTACGAGGGTTGATCAAAAAGTTCATATTTTGACCTATAAGGAATTTATGTATCGGCTCGAAATTTCAACAGCCTCTAGTATAACTCTTTGTAATAGTGTGTACCAAATTTTATCATCGGATTAGGGTTACCTTTTTTATTATAGGTATTTGTGTGACGCATGTCAAAGAAAAAATCGAAAATGGAGAAATCTGAAGTGCGCGCTGTCATCAAATACCTCCGTTTGAAGGGCATGACCCTGCAGGAAGTGCATGCCGACATGCAACAGACATTAGGGGACTCTACTCCAGCTTATTCAACTGTTGTTAAGTGGTGTGCTGAATTTAAGCGTGGCAGAGCTTCGTGCGAAGATGCTGACCGGTCCGGGCGCCNCTCCTCCCAAGAAATTTCGTGTCGCAGCCTCGGCGGGCAAAGTCATGGCGTCCGTTTTCTGGGATGCTGAAGGGGTCGTGCTGGTTGATTACCTGGAACGAGGAGCTAGCATCACTGGCAACTACTACGCACAGTTAATTGGAAAACTTCGTCAGGCAATCAAGGACAAGAGACGCGGGAAGTTGCGACGCCGTGTGCTGTTCCATCAAGACAACGCACCCGTCCACAAGTCTTCAGTTGCAATGGCCGCCATCAGAGATGCGGGATTCGAAGTACTCGAACACCCACCCTATTCTCCAGATCTGGCCCCCAGTGATTTTTATTTGTTCCCAAAACTGAAGGAACACCTTCGGGGAAAGAAATTTTCGAGTAACCAGGACGTGATGTCTGCTGTAAATACCTGGTTGGAGGACCAGAGCAAAGAATTTTTTTCAACTGGGATCCGAGCATTGGAGCACTGCTGGACTAAGTGCATTTCAGTTCAAGGGGACTATGTCGAAAAATAAAAAAAAAACATTCCGCTACGCACAGTCTTTCACTCCCAAAATACGAACTTTTTGATCGCCCCTCGTATGTGGAGAGTTGGTACCCAACCAATTACGAACTTCCATCGAGAAGTTCGGAGGGGCACCATCATGCATAAAAGCTTTTCATCTGTGCTGTCCCATTGCTGACTTTTTGGAAGAACAAAGTTTTGAAGATGTTATGCTTCGAATATTTGTTCAAAACAAAGCAAAGTTTTGAAGCATAAAATCGTCAAAACTTCAAAACTCTTCGAGCTTCATGATCATATCAACTGACTCTTGCATCCATCCCCTTTCTCTGCCAAATGGCACTTGAGCTCCTCCGTGGAACTCAATGGCCTTAAAAAAGGTAGTAAGATACACGGAAGAACTAGGTCAACACTCTCTGATAATCGTTTTCACACTATCAAAACTCCGAGGATGTGACCTTGCCAATGAAGCAACGGGTCAATTCGGAAAATCAGGAGGGGGAGTGGAAAGGGAAGCGAGAGGGAGAAAAGGTGAGAGACTAAAAGACAGGAAAATAAAGAGGAAGCAAGTCTACCTGCAATATTTATTCCTGTCTTCTGGCCGGATTAAAGAGTAGCTGTCACAGAGAGGGTCTGCAAATCCTTGGTCGTTGGCCGTGTTAGACAGGTGGCGGGATAAAACATTGTTATTTCAACATTGAGTCTATGGAGCTAACGATTGGGACTGAGGATTTCCTGCTGCAAATGGAAGGTGGCTGTAATAGCAAGGTGGCCGAATTCACAGGTTTCACTGTGCAACGAAATTCCGGGCAAGTTCCAGACACGCAGAATGAAACTTAATGTTAAGGAAAATAATTTAAGAATGCTCTTTATGAAAGTTAAGTTATTTATTTTAGTGTCATTTGCCTTCCTTGAATTGAATAACTTATTGTAACAAGTTCATCATGTCAACTTATAAATATGTACTCCACAAGTTTCTCGCAAAAAGCAATCTCCCATTACTCCTTGGCAGTGACTGCCTGGGTGTATACATCATGCTTATAACTTCTTTTTATCAACCCATTCCGTTTCTTATCTTATAGTTTAGGCAGCCAATACGTACTATGCTCAAAACATTTACAGTACTAAATTTAAAAAAAATTGTAAAGCAGGAAGATGATGATCAATGATGACTCACTCCAATGAGGCACAATAGGGATGATGGAGATGAACTGAGGATTCTCAAAAGAGTTGGGCTGAAGGTTGTCTCTAGCAAGGAGGAGGATACCACACAAGTTCTTTTCTTCATTGGTATCTTCAGGGCGAAACGTGCCTAGAAGATATACAACATTTTTTACTTACCATGCAAGCCATAAGAATCACTCCATTGCCAGTAAGTGCTGAACCGATAAATACCTAGGTCCAGTAGAATAAAAGCTTTCAGAATCTCTGTTATGAATGGTAGCTAAAAAAAAAACGCACATGCGGTTATTGATGAAGTTCTCAAATAATACGAGGTCAAGTCAAAACGTTTTCGTAATGATTTTTTAAATTAGTGAGAGAGAGGCATTCTAATACGCTTTGACCTAATATTGACCTTCAACCATCCTTATTCTCTTCCTAAAGGTTTGCGCTCACAGAGTTTCAGGTTTCAGCCTAACTGAAGCTCAATCGAAAGCAGTTATTGCTAGTTTGGCGCGCGGAGAGGTATCCTAGAAAACGAAGAATGTGTCTACATCAAACTTTGAGTGAAATTTGCGATGTCGCTTTTTGAAACTCTTCCAATGTTAAAACAGCTTCATTCAAAGAATGCAATGCGAAAGACAGTAATTTTCAAATGGCATAACAGATTTTGTGAGGCTCGTGAATATGTGAAAGATTATGACAGACAGGTCATCAACAAACGTCACTGAAGAAAATATCAATCAAGTTCAACATTTGGTTCGCCAATACAGGAGAGAGTCAGTTGACGCACTTGCTAAGATTGTGAACATTCACATGGAATTTGTCACTCCATTCTTTCAGAAAATTGAAGATGAAAGGTTGGTGCACAAAGTTTGTGCCAGGACTGCTCACAAGTGATAAAAAGACGAAGAGACCTTCTGACCACCTCTCAGAGAGACTAAAACTTATTGGACTCCATTAACACCAAGGATGAGATTTTAGTGCTTGACAGCCCAGAAACCAAAAGGCAGACTTCACAATGGGATAGCCCAAACTTACCGCAAAGGTTCGCATGCAGAAATCAAAACTCAAGGGCATGTTCATTGGTTTTTAAAATCAAAATTGGATCATGCATGAGGAATTTGGGCCTCAATGTCAAACTGTGAGCTAATACTTTCACTGGAAGTTTTGCGGAGACTACGAGATAGAATACGCCGTCGTCACTGCCCTGAAAAGTGGCGGAGGGGAGACTAGTACCTCCTTCAAGACAATGCAGCATTGTCGGTCCAAAGCAAAAAAGGTGAAAGGCTCCGCAGACATGTGGTGATTAATGACCAGCAGAGCAAAGTACGAGGATCATAATTACCTGAAAATCCATTATTTATATACTTGGAGCAATTCACTGTCGGTCATAGGGATCTCAACCTACGCATGTACTACCAGTTCAGGGGCACTGGCCTAGGGCATGATTAGAGATTTATTCATCTTTATAAATAACGTAGACAGAAGATGGGTCCGTAGGAATGCATTATCATGAAATAGGAATACACATTCCTTTCTCTTACTTTAAGTGGTCATTAAGGTCATAAATCAGGCACTGGAAATGTGTGACTGTTATAACAAGTTATCGGAGGAGAAAAATGCGGATATGCTATGATCACCAGATGTGGCAGATTTGCCGATTCTTAAATGTGATGGAACTGGCAGGAGAAGGGAGATTTCAGTGATGCAATTTGCAACAACAGAAAGAGTAATCAGACTGAGTTCATGTGGATGGATGAAAGAAAGGAGGGAAGAAAGGAATTAAAAGAGAATGTTAAAAAATGGGCTGGCGATAAGCAAGGATCCTGCCCTTTCTTCGGCATGAGTGGGTGATGCATGTAAGCGCTGATTCTCGCCTTTTCTTTCAAAAGCTGTTAGCACACAAACGTAAAGAAGAGTGCGAAGACATGTCAAGACAAGTTCTCCATGGCAATATTATGTCTAATACCAAAATATAATTGCCAGGGCATGCATTGGGCTAGGCAAGGTAGAATTGAGATCTAACGTATCTGGGAATATCATTGTTTTCTGCTTTGTCTTGTTTTATCGCATTTGGATTGGGGAGCAAGACTTCGTTAAACTCCGGTTTATTATTAGAAGCCCTTATTTTCACATTTTTCTCTGTCAGGAAATATAAAAATAATAAATATTCAGCTGAAAAGAGAACACTTACCTTCTGTACCTGCGCACCTTATGAATGCTAAGGCTTGTGAATTTTCAAAACCTCTTGTGGGCATGTATGTACAGATGAACCAACGAGATTCTGAAAGTTTCTCTGCAAAAAATACGCTGGGGAGAGTGGGTTGAAATTTTTAAACTTAGGTAGGGAATGAAGGAACGTTGCTGGATTCGTTTCCAATAGTCAGAAAGCTTTTCCTGGAATAAAAAAAAACGATTCAAAATCCCCTTGACTTTGATCTAGCAATCTTTTCTTGCTTGGCTCCATGAGAACCTTATGCTCTGCAAGTCAAGCCTCTTTAGATATTTAGTTCTAGTTCTTTAGATATCTAGGGATTTTGAGAATTTCCTAAAAATTCCTTGTTCATCCTTAGTGTCTTTTCTAAAAACTTGGTCCTCTCATATTTGACGGCGTTGAAGGTTGATTGATTGGACATACTTTCCAAAGAGTTATGTCAAATAAATGAATCACAAAATGAATTTGTTCTTTATGAAGAAAGGAAGGGTAAGGTTGGTGGGACTCACGAGATAGTTTATTTCCTAAGAGTACTATTGGTCTCCGGAGAATAGTTGCTGCCAGTTGAATCTGATGAAGAAGAGTTTCCAATGTACTGAACTGCAAACCACCATTTTTCATGGAACCAGCTTCATCTGAGACATTGAATTCCGGTGAACTGGAGTGATACACGTCCTTCAGTCTCTTCTGTAGGCATATTAATTACAACCAACTTGAACTTCAATTTTCAAAGGGCATAAAATTGACAATACGGAACCTCGGAAAAACCAAAAGCTTAAGGCAGTGCATGACAAACTGTATGATATTTCAATGAAAAAATTCCAGTCAATCCAAAGGCTCATTGAAATGGAGTATTGTAGGTACGAATGACGAATATGCATATAAGATATCCATATCATGAAACTTTATGAAGCCAGTGTCGGCACCACTTCATGACAAAATAATCATTGAATAGATATTTCTCTTCGACGGTTCCTAAGTTACATAAATCCCAGCGCACTTGGTAAACTCACAAATATGTATATCAATTCATGGACTGTTCACATGTTTATGACTCTCCCTTGATAATCACGTACCTGGTAAGAATTATTCTAGCCTGCGAGCCTCGCTTCTTTTTTTAAACTGCGAAGCATTATAACAAAACCACGTGCAACCTTTCAGCAAGACCTTCGGCTCCCCCACCGCCACACCACATCCACTAATCATCCTACATCCGCCTCTGTCAAAATAGCAATACAAAGGCTTTCCATCTCACAGGAAACACAATCTTTGCTTCAAGGTTCGGAAAATACATCAGAAGGCACTTTTGCTCATGCCTTCCTGTAGCAAGGTGGAGCGATCAAATATATAGTGACGACGTAAACTGTGGTAACGCTTCCTAGGTTTAACTTCATGCTGTCATAAATCTTCAACAAGACATGGTATCCGAAATTCAATACCCTCTCCCGATAGCAATGCCTTTTCTCTTTTGCTTGACACAAGCTGCTCGTCAATTGCTTCGCTATTAGCTGAGGAATATAAAGTTGAATCAAGCTCACTCATTAGGAAAGTTTACGCCATTTTCATTTTCTAATCATTGTCACAAATGCATTGTACTCAGTGAACACTTTTCGTAGTCATGTTCTGTCGGATTCAGAAAAGGAGAATATGCCCGCAAAAACGTCACGTGAACGCTAGGGAAGCCATCTGCGACCGAGACTTGTTTAAGGGGTTTAGCACTATCCATGATGATATAAACTGGTTCAACTGGTGGCCAAGTCATGTGTATATGTCCCAGGAGCTCCTCAAAGGATTTCTGAAACGTAGAATTTCAAATAAAGATTCATTTTCTTTTCGCCAGACTCATGTTAATTGCCAAAAACAGGAGATTCCCTTGCTTGCAAAAATTGAAACGGCGGATGTTGAAATCGAAGTCACCTGCGGAAATTGGGAGGGAAAACGGGGACGAGACACGAGTGCTTCCGAATTTTAAAGACTTCTGCCGAAATTCGTCAGGAAAACCTATAAATCTAATTTGTTCACCCAATGGGCAAGCGCTCAATGGTCGTGCATTCGGCGCTCCACGATCTCAGAAAATGATTAATTCATCTGAAACACTTCGATGCGAGAACTTTCCAAAGTGGTAAAACTGCATTAATCTAAAAAAAAATGTTTAGCGTCGAATTCCATCTGGAAATTTGACGTCATTCTTTACTTGAGATTTCTTGTTCAAGCATGGTAAATTCATTCATTTGCCGCTAAACCATCTTCCCCCAAAAATGTTCCCTTTGTCCGGTACCTTTCACAACACGTCTGTAAAAATTGAAATGATGACGTGAAAAGAAATGGCAAGTACAGACCTTGAGGAGAGGAAGATGCATCAGTGACCCAGTTAGAACAATAGAAATGGACTCCAGGAGTCCGGTCCCTTTACTTCGAACCTTTAATGGCACTGGGGGCCAGTACATTGGCTCCCACTTTACTCCCCGCAGCCCAAGGAACTCAATAATTCTCTTTCCTTCGCCAATCTGAGACACTTCCCCTGGGTTTCCTGGAGAGAGGAAAGAGGAGTTACTAAGTAGAATCAGTTCCGCATTATGCTTGACATGTGCTCGCATCCTATATTCTGACACCTGAATGCAATCTTTGGCATTTTAATGATATTAATGAGAAAAAAAATATTCTCTAGCTTCAATACTTTCAATGCCAGCTTTCCCTTTGTTGTATTTGTAAGCGATATTTGTATCTTCGATTTAATCGACTTTGGCACTGAACAGTTTTAGTTTGTTCAAGTGAACTCGATTGAGCCAATAAAACCCCAAAACTCTTGTATTTCTATTAAAATGAGGGTTCCCTTTCAAAACCTGATCGACATGTGGGATATGAAGCAGCATATAGGATCTATATCCATTCACGCCATATTCATGAAAAAAGGATATGGCATTTCTTCGGAATCCTCCACTTACCCCCCCACATATACCCCCATGCGGCGAACGGGTCGAGGTATGGGGGTGAGGGTAAAATTTTGTCCAGGGGCTCGTCAGAGAGACAAAAGAATCCTCCAGTGTTCTGGTCGAGGAAACCCTCTTTCTTCAATGCCTCCTCTCCAATCCTTTCCCCCGTCTTGTCCCAGGTTGGCGTCTGTAATGCAAGAACGGTTTCACGCAAGGTCACCTTTTTTGGATACTAGCGAGTCTGTTTGCCCTTCGGGCAAACAAACTCGCTAGTATCGTCTTTGGTGCTCAGCGATTTAAGGAAATTACTAATACATTTCAGTTTAATGCATCCGTTTTCGATGCTCACTCCTAGAAATGCGGTGGAACTCATTTTCTCAAGGGGTTCATTTCCCACACCTTTGGCACTGGCACCTTAAAAAAAATGTGTCTTAGAACATATTCTTAGTAATGCCAATTTGACGTGTAGCATGAAGATCACCAAGTAACAATTTCACCGCTTTCACCAGTTTCACGGCGTAAAAACTTATAGGCCCCATAGCGAGGGGAACACCTTGCAAAATAACCTGCGCTCGTTCGCGAAGATAATGAAATACATAGGAACCGATTATTTGTAAAGCCAATGTGCACAGTACTACCCCTAAGGCCAAATTACCCCAATTTACTATACCCCCCTACCCTGTTCTTTTCAAGTGAAATCAACACACCACAAAACATAACTTTCTTCAGTTGTTATAAAATTTCCTTCAATGCTCCGTACCATTGGGATAGTAAAACACCATACATATTTTTTATCTCCAGTCCATGATACCTGAATTTGAAAAACCTAATAAAAATGGACCTTTTTGTGACCAAGGGCACCTCTATCCCGCGATATGGTGATAACTTCCTTTCTAGACGAGCTAAAGGGATACTTCATAGGTCCTTCCTTTTGACATTTTTTTTCTGCAATTTCCGATGGTATCATGATGATTGGTGTTATTTCAATGGATAATAATTTATACAATATCTCCACTGAACCTTGACCGCCTTTAGAATGTATACACCTGGGATTTCTATGAGACTCGATTCGCATATTTTGCCAGCCACCTAGAACATGTGTAGCAAAATTCATCAAGGAATATTTCAAGAAGTTTTTGAGATTTAGACTTTTTTCACTGAAAAGTGAAAAAGTATAGAACTCCAAAAACCATTTTTAAAGAACCATTTAAAAAAAATTAATTTTTTTATTACAGAAAAGTGAAAAGAGGTTCGGGTCATTTGGTACATTGGGCACTGATGAGATTTAATCAAAACATATACCTTTCAAAACTCGCTCAAGATAATGACGGCATTCTGATCAATACGTAAAAGCTGGGGATATCAATAATTTTCAGGCTAAGAAATTTCAAAAATTAGTCTAATGAAAATCTAAAGACTGGGAAAGGAAGCTTCCTCATAACGAAACTATACTAATAAACTTTAACGGAATGGGTATTAAGCCGAATCACATGATTGCTAGCAAAAGCATTTTGGGATGCGATGGAGATGGTTCATAGTTATTTTAACAGAAAAATACCATAAACATGACCATTTTACTCCATTTTAGGTCCGAGGTTGCAACTTTCGATTACCTTTTAGGTGCTGCAGTTATTTTACTTTTAATTCAATCCCAGACTTTCCAATCCTATTGTTCCTACTCCCTTACAGTATGCCAGGGTGCATTTTAAAACTAATTGTAGTAAAAGCGAAAGCAAATAGCACATTATAGTCAATTAAGCTAAGATAGGTGACATGAGGTAGGTTCTGGAGGAAGGAAATGTGGCATACCCAAAGAAACTTTTTCTCCTCATCTAGAGTCAGGAGGACTTTTCTGTCTTCTATATCCGTGGGAAAGTTTCCACTAAGAACTTCCACACGCTGTTCTTGTCTCATGGAATCCCAGAGATCTTCATGGTCTTGGAGGGTGTCAATGATGATGAGTTGAGTCCTGGAGCGGGAGATCACTTCTAGCAGCCACTCGTCACTCACATTCACAGCAATGACGGCAGAAGCCTCGCACCCCCGGAAGTCTTTTGGATGTACCACTCTGACACCACACCTGGTTTTCAGAGTTCCTAATGATGCGAGCAGGTTTTCATCTGAAGCCAGGATGTAAAGCTGGTCGTCTGTTGACTCTGGATGAGCGACAAGGGAGACAGAAGCTGCTACTCTTACACAATCAATGCAATAATTACTTCCTTTGCACTTGTACCCAAAATGTTGCTCTGAGCATTCATAGAGGATATATCGAACCGCTGAGCCAAGGAC